GAGCTGGAAGTCTTCATCCTATATTATAGCTGTAGATCTTCTTCTTCATCATAGAAGAGCTGAAGGTATTTTTCTTTCTAGAAAGCTGGAGGTTTTCTTCATAGAAGAGCTAAAGGTCTTTTTCTTCAAAAAAATGGTGAATGTCTTCTTCTTAGAAAAGCTGAAGGTCTTTTTCTTCATAGACGAGATAAAGGTATTTTAACTTCATAAAAGAACTTGAGGTCTTCTTCTTCATAGAAATAGCTTGATGTCTTCTTCTCATGAAATAGCTGAAAGTTTTCTTCTTTATGGAATAGGTGAAGGACTTCTTCTTCATAGAATAGATGGAATCCTTCTTCTTAATGGAAGAGCTGAAAGTCTCTTTCTTCTTCATAGAAATGCTGAAGGCCTTCTTTTTTTTCATAGAAGAACTACAGGTTTTCTTCATTGAAGTAAGGGTGGTTTTCTTCTTGGAAGTGGTGAAGGTCTTCTTATTTATAGAAGAGCTGGAGATATTCTTCATACAGGAGCTGGAGGTATTCTTCATTCATGAGCTGGAGGTCTTCTCATCATAGACTAGCTGGAGATCATATTCTTTATAGCTGAAGGTCTCCTTCGCATAGACGAGATGAATGTATTTTATGTTCATAGAAGAGCTGGAGGTTGCCTTCTTCATAGAAGATATGAAGGTATTCCATCATAGAATAGCTGGATGTCTTTTTCTCATAGAAGAGCTGAAAGTTTTCTTCTTTATGAAAGAGCTGAAAGTCTCCTTCTTCTTCATAGAGGTACTAATGGTCTTCATCATGCAAGAGCTGAAGGTATTCTTCATGGAAGTGCTGAAGGTTTTCTTTCTGGAGGTCTTCTTTTGTTTTCGTCATAGAAGATCATGAGGTCTTCTTCTTAAGGAAGAGTTTGAGGTACAGAGGAACTGAAGGTCTTCTTCTCATAAAAGAGTTCTAGGACTTCTTATACCAGAGAAGAGGCGTAAATGTAGTCTTGTAGAAAAACTACAGAGCCAGGTATTTGTTCTAAGAGTGATTAAGTATTTAAGTATGATTTAAGTATAAATATAAAAGAGCTCTAAATTTTCTAAGATATAAGGATCATAGATCAGCTTTGAGGTATAATTTTTTAGGGAACCTTAGGTCGTCTTTACAGAAGGGAACAGTTGAAAGATATTCTTTTGAGAGTAACTGAAGGTCTTCTTAATGGAAAATTTGAACGTCTCTTCACAATCCGTCACTTTGTTAACTATTTTTTTTAATTTGTTGTGTGATTTACTTCCCTTCCACTCTTCCTTATCTTTTTGTTTACAAATACTTGTAAGTCTGTTGGCACATAGAAGTGTTTGACGTTTTTCTTTTGTTTGACACTTATTGTCATCTATTTGCAATTAGGTGTGATATTTTTTTTAAGCACCAGCATACAATTAAAAAGGTTGTTGACCGAATTCAACCAGCCGTGAAATAGACGTAATACGTAATAGACAGATATTATTGAACCGGAACTTATTAACCTTGAATTTGTGGATGACTTATTTGTCTGAAAATACATATCCACATGGGAATAGCAAAAAATATAAATAAATAATGTTTTTGTTTAAAAAATTAGTCACATTTTCATTTAAAATGGTACTACAAGGTGGAATGACAAAAATTCGAGCAGAAATTGATTTAATTTCTAAATATTTTAGAAATTAAAAAACACAAATTTTAATAAAAAAAAACCTTAAATACATTGTTGGTCAGTCTCCTTACAACAAGAATGTCTTAGTTTTTACTACGATGGACAAAAATTGTAAAAAATAGTAAGATCTTCCAATATGGGAACAGACCATATGTTTTCTAATTTTTTCAAATTAATACAATTTTTGTACACTTTCCCTTTTCCACATAACCTCGTCGAGATTACAAATGCATTTAATTCTGATAAGTGTTCTGTGTGTGGTCAAGGCTACTAAATTTACGAATAGTCTGTTTCCCAGCAATTCAAATTAAACTCCTAAATTCTTTTTCATTTTATTTTTTTGTGATTTGTTTAATCGTGAAGTCACAGTAGGGGGGATTTTTTTTATTATGAACCGTATTCGATTTTTTATAGTCTTCTTTTCCGAGACATTTTTCTTAACCTTAAATAATAAATAATAATTATAATTAAAAAACATATTTTTGTTATTAATTATAAAGTGATTTTATTGTTATTTTGAAATTATTATTTTGCATGATTTATGCAGTTTTTAATGGGCTCAAACTAATTGTCGCAGCTTTTCCGAACATGGCATATTGTCTTCTGGCCACAAAAATCGTTGACCACACATTTGTTTCTGGATATGTGCAAAATAAAAAGTCACTGGTTGCCAAGTTAGTGGTGTTTCCACGTTTTAGACGATCAGCAAAACATTGGTTTGAGCCGATGAGTGGGATCTGACATTAGCGTCGTACACAATGATTGGTCTCCCCTTCTTCGTTTTTTCAATTTCTCTCAAGATTGCAGTCCACGTGGATAGTTCGGAAAATTGTAGAACAAAAATGTTCACAAGGTATTTCCAATTTTGTGGCAAATTTAGTTTTCAAGTCAATTTAAACAACACAACACATGGTGGTACGACAAACCATTCTGAGTACGTTTATGCTATAAAATGCAAACATTCTAATGGGTATGCCAGATGGCGCCAGGTAATACCTATTGTTGCACATAGTAGCCCTCGTATGAGATTGGTCAATAAAGACATAATTCTATAAAATGTCCATCTGAGAACCCCAGAGATTATTGGGGCAATGTCCAAATAAACGAAATCTGAAATTAAAATTATCTTTCCTTCGCAATGGTAGATGGTGTTAAGGATTTCTCATTATTCAGATACACCCTTGAAGGTTTGGATAAGCAGAGTCGTGCTCGAAGGGTTAACTAGAGTCACCTCTACACGCGTAGTAATTTGTTCGATCAAGAAGTCCCAATACAGAAACAATGCAATCATATTTTTAAAAAAAAATGTTTATGCGCAATTCGACACGATCCTGTTTTTCAGCGAATCCACGTGAAAGTTCTGAAAATTATAGAACGAAAATTTTCACGAGTTATTTCAAATTTTGTGGCAAAAAGAGTTTTCAAGTCAATGTAAACAACACAACACATGGTGGTACGTACAATCGTACTGATCACGTTTATGCTATAAAATGTCTAACATTCTAATTATAGGGCGCCAGATAACAATTATTGTTGCCTATAGTAGCCCACGTATAACTAGATTGGAGCTTTAACAACAATGACATAGTTCCATACAATGTCGATTTGTCCATATGTCCAAACAACTGAAACCGGAAATTAAAATTATTCTTCCTTTGAAATGGTAGATGGTGTCAAGGATTTCTCATCACTCTGGTACACCCTCGAAGATCCTTATTGATCTGAATCCTCTATTCAAAGTTATCTCCAGCTGGAGGGTTAACCAAACCTTAAGGCGACGTAGGAATTCTGGTACACCCTCGAAGATCCTTATTTATCTGAATCCTCTGTTCAAAGTTATCTCCAGCTGGAGGGTTAACCAAACCTAAAGGCGACGTAGGAACTCGTTACATCAAGAAGTCTCTCATTTGGATAGTTCCGTAAGATCTTCCGAATAAATTGAATGTTTCTCATGATGTGAAGGGATTTCTTGTCATTATCCGAGTTTCTGTCTCGCTTGATCCGCAGAGATTGATATCATCTCCCATCAGATTGGTTTATAGGAGCCATAGCGTCTTCCACGTCCTTAAAGGGATGGAAGGATCCGGTTTCCTCGATAAGATCGAGCAGAAGGTTCGTATGTCTCCCCAGGCTTGCGTTTATGTTAACGAGAGAAATGGTGTGGTAAGGGTTTATGGTCCATTGACACGTTAACAGTGATCGATATCGTTGAGGAGGTTAAATTGTATTATTGATGTTGCACTTGTCGAGATTGAGACTAAGGATGCCAAAGCAGCAAATCCATTAAAATGACTAAAATTTTAGTTTTTTTTTTCCTGAAGATTCCATGGCAGCTTTTTTTTGCATAGCCTCATAAGAACTTGACAGCTAAGTCTGAATAACTTGTTGAAGCAGCCAGGTATCGACAAGTGTCCGTTCGAATACAGTTGGTACCCTGACTGCAGACCGGGTAACACAAGGGCGACTAAGAGTGATATGGAAGTCACTGTAGGAAGGAGGTGACATAAGACCTAGAAATTGATTATTTATGAGTGCCAATCATGTCTCGTTTATCTTGGTATCATATGTACTCGGTCATTTCCTCCAATACTCTCTCCAAAACCCACTGACTGTCCGCGACTGTTTATTTAGATTCGTATCTACCCATTAAATGTTATTGGGCTTTCAATCATCCACGAACAGTGGACGTGTCCGCTAGCATTCATAAATTAACCAATTTTAAATTAACCAATAAGGGAAGGAAAAGAAGTCGGACTGGCCGAACACATGACATTCTAAACTTCTATCTCACGGTGAGATCGGAACTGCGTTACATGAAATCACAAGAAAATATATATGGGAGATATATCTAAATCTGAACCGATTTCGATTTCAAAACTTAAAAATCGTCATTCTAGACATAATTCGAGGCACTGTGCCACCCTTTCTCGATTTCTAAAAATTGAATTTTGTTTTTTATTTAATTCGAACCTACACTAATTCAAGAACGTTTCTTTAAAATTTCAAGTGAAAATCTCAAAAACTCTTAAAGACATTTTCGATTTTTTGTATTAGTGACACAAACTTTAAAGGCGGACAAGATATCGTATGAACTACGATTAATGTAATCGGTCAAGATCTCCCTTATTTTCTAAAATGTATAACCTCAAAATATTTTATTTTATTATTTTTTAATGTATCCCATTTCAACATAAAGAAACTAAGCCAAAAAAATAATAATCTTGCCATATTTGTTTTATTTTTACTGGTTTCAAATCTTTATATAATTTTTAACTTTCCGAAATCCCCGTTTTCAAAAGGGCGTCACTTCTCTAATTACCAATTCGTCTTATTTATTGCGGCTGTTGTTTAACATCATCACAAGAAATTTGATTGGTAATTTTCAAAGGCAACAAGGACACGTTGTTCTTTTTCAAAGCACTGGCTGCATTATCAATCACGGTGGCACTGGGTATTTGGGCACGGGTTAAAATCCAAACAATGGCTAAGAAATTAATTAATAAACGTCATTCGATTTCTTCGATCACTTTAAATCTAAAATTAAAAACTTACTTGAATGCGAGTTATTATTTAAAGGTGTACAGGAGTAGACCGTGGCATAATTATCATAATCTGTATCCAAAACCCAATAATTTGTGGTTACATTATAGGCTGGCGATACGGGAAATTTGACAAATAATTTTCCAGGTGAAACTATGGTGGCGGAACCAATAATATCTTCATAGATATTGGAGCTGGAAAAATAGAAAATATATTTTTTTTATAATTAAATAATTCGCAATAAATAAAATAATTCCCAAAAAAATAAATATATATCAAAGCTGAATACTGTTTTTAAATAACACAATTAAAATTATTATAAAAAAATGTGTATCTTCACTTACTTCTCATTCACCAAACTATTTTGCACTCTAACCGTGCCATCAGCATTTAGGGTATATTTCGCCGTTACACATTTACCTTCGTTTTCAAAATACACCGGATATTTACCATATTCATACCATGAACCTAAATATTTTTCTAAATCCAAACTATCTACAGTTTGAATATTTTCTGGACATGGACCGGAATAAATAACTTGACCAGAAGTGCCAACAAGTATGGCACCCAATATGATTAGAATTGTAGATCTGCAACAAAAACACAATTTAGAGATCAATTACCAAAATCCTTTTTCACTCCTTGCTTACTGTTTATACATGGTGATTCCTTGATGCGAAACGTCTTCTACGACCGATTTCTCTGAAATTCTCGAGTAATATAACCAAACTTTCTTATATGATCATCGTTTTTATACCCTTCACCACACTGTGGTACAGGGTATTATGTCTTTGTGCATATGTTTGTAACAGGCAAAAGGAAACGAGATAGACACATGGTTCCTTTTGAGAATATGCATAGAATCACTTTCTAAGTCGATTTATGCATGTCCGTCCGTCCGTCTGTCTGTCTGTGCATTATATATCTTTCGATTTGCACGAAATTTGGCATAACGTACTGAATTAAGCCTAGAGTGATGTCTGCCAAGTTTCGAGAAAATCGGCTCAGATTTCTATATAGCTCACATATATAGTTTCGTCCGATTTCATGAAATGGTGCCCCAAAGTCCCAATATATCTTTCGATTTGCACGAAATTTGGCATAACGTACTGAATTGAGCCTAGAATGATGTCTGGTATGTTTCGTGAAAATCGGTCCAGATTTAGATATAGCTCCCATATATAGTTTCGTCCGATTTCATGTAAATTGTGCACCAAAGTTCCTATATATCTTTCGATTTGTACGAAATTTGGCATAACGTACTGAATTGAGCCTAGAGTGATGTTTGCCAAGTTTCCAGAAAATCGGTATAGATTTAGATATAGCTCCCATATATAGTTTCGTCCGATTTTATGAAAAGTGTACGGTGCACCAAAGTCCCTAGCAATACGGTACCAATCAGTAAGAAATGCTACATAT